TATTCCAATCTGGTCTCCTTTGACACTCCAAAATAGATTTGGGTTTTGGATCCTTATTTTCATCGATTTTCTTTGATACATTATAAGAGAATATATCATCAATCTTTTTTATTTCTTTTCGATTCCATAATATACCATTACTGATATAATTAATTGAGATCTCGTGATTTTCATTATCTGAATTTATACCATCATCACAAGGTACTTCGTTTCTTTGATTTGGAACGCGTTCCTCCGAATTGAGCATTTCATTTTTCTTGGGCCCTTTGCTCTTTCGGGGGTTTTTCTCCTTAGAATCAATAGGTCGTCCACGCTTCAGGCGTGTTTTGGAATCATATGTCGAATTTTCTTTCGTTTGTTCTTTCAGAATTTCAATCCGAGCAGGAACATTTGCAGCATCTATATATGATCTTGTTACTCTAGTTGTATCTGCAAATGCATCAGGTAACTGATTTGTAATATTCTGCAAATGTATAATCCTTTGAACTTCTAGTTCTCGTTGTTTTGTTGGGTAATCAAAGTGGGATAATGATGGTGTACACCAATCAATATCATTTCCATTTTCCACTATTCTATGATTTTCTCCCCCTAATGGTGGGAACTCATTTTCATTAAAATGACAATCAGCAAAATGAGCCGTAAAAACATCTTCAGTTTATAGCTCAAGATATCGTATAATGGATGGAAAATCGTACCCAATATATATTCCAAGTCTCCTTTGTGGTCCCATTTTTGTACGTTGTGGTGGAGAAATCGGGACATATACTGTGCATTCGAATATTCTGAGATGCGAAATATTAGGTTCTTGACCAAATGCTAATTGTAATGGAGAATACTTATGATATGCACTTAATCTTATACGAATCAATGATGCATCATACAAAATAGTATGTCCCTACACAGAAATGAGTAATTTTGTTTTCATTATCAATGGTCTGGTAATAAGCTGAAGTCGTTTGATTAATGACTCTACCAATCCATTCTATGTATGTACGTGTGCAACTGGGTGTTCAACATCAATACCCATTGCTACACAGTAATCATCAAAAGCTTGTGATGTAAATTCTCCGGCATTATCAAGCATCACTTTCTTGATCGGGTATTCTGGGAACTGTGCCCTTAATTTAGTTATTTAGGCTAAGAATCGGGCAAATGCTAGATTACGCGATGATAAAAGACATACATGCGACCATCTGCTTGAAGCATCAATTAATATCATAAAATATCGAAATGGTCCGCATGGTGGATGAATGGGTCCACATATATCACCATGAATTCTTTCTAAAAATGCTGGTAATTCATACCCGATTTTAACTTGTGATGGTCTAATTATTAATTTTCCTTTAGAACATGCATCATAAGAAAGCTCATCCGATTGAAAAATCTTTTGGTTTTTCAATGGGTGACCATGAGAATTTTCGATAATATTTCTCATCATGATCGCACCAGGGTGATCCAACCGATCATGCCAAACTTTGAATGTATCAGTAAACTTCTGGTTTACTATAACATGTGATTCAATCACGTTGATATTAGTATAATATAATCCCGAGGATAGAGTGAGTAATTTTTTTAACACATACTTTTCTCCCGAATTGATTGAGGTGATATATAAATACTCAGTGTCGTCCTCATTCATAGTTTCAATATGATATACATTTTGTCAGATTTCTTTAAAACTCAATAAATTTCTTTGGGACTTGGAGGAAAATAATGCATCTTTTATTGTAAATTCCGTTCGTCCTGGCATAATGAAATCAG